ACAATGAGAATAGCTGAAGCCTGAAATGAATCTAACCTAATTTGTAATCTTTTCCATCTAAAATCCATATTATTTGAATAATTAAATTGAAATTTCGAGAATATTATAGATTAACCTAACACAAAAAAAGCAAAAATTCAACATAAAAACAATATCATGAACATTTATTAATAAAGCTAAAAGCTTATTATTCAAGGCAATAATTATTAACTGAATTAAATGTACCTATTGATTAGTATTGTAAAATTTACAAATAATTAAAATATCAGATAGCATTCAAGCTTAAAATATTTGAAAGACAAATTATAATCATTAGATGGATTAATTTTAACCTCATGTAATCGAACATTATATGTGCCATCATTATACGATAAATATGCTCTTCCTTCGTCAACACCATTATAAACACATTCTAATACTGTATCATCACCCTAAATATTAACAATTATTAATTACATTCAATTTAATAGTTTAAAATTAATAGTTCCAAATTGAAAAATTATTCGACAAAAAAAAAAATCGAAAAATGAAAAGATAATTGAATGCAAACAATTGATAAGATATCATTCAAAATGAAATGATAACATTATGCTTTGCATACCATATATTGATCATTCGAGAATCCTAATGCTATATACATTGCATAAGATGGCAAATCTCGAAGAAATGCTTCCATCCGTAAACGAAGAAATGAACCATGACCGCTTACAGACCAACGTAAATTTGCAGTGCATGCATTACTATTACAACCATTAGGCACAGACCTTTTTTTTAAAAAAAAGAAAAATATTTTGAATTAAATAAAAATTAAAATAGATCCAATAAATTAATTAAATTTACATAAAATTTAACTCATGACCTATCCAATTATTATCTGAAATTAATTCATATTTTATATATTAAATTGATTACTTTTAAATATACAGTTATATCGTTTAATGTTTAAACAAAATTCATATCAGCATATCATAACTTAAATCAATCTTTATTAAATTATCCTTCCTGATTATGATAATAAATTATCAATTAGTCAATTATATTGATGCAAAATTAATGATATGATATGATATGATACGCTTATCATGATAAATAAAAGTAAAATTTGTTTTTTTTTGAAAATAAAAAATTAAAATTTAAATGATACAAAAATATACCAACAACCATGTAACGTTCCACAGCTATTTCGTTTCATTCTGGCACCATTGAGTAGTGGTATTATTTGAAGCTAAAAATTAATTTATAAAATTGAACTTTGAAATAAAATTGACACTAATCATTTTGAATAATGTAAAGTTATGTGGAATAAAAAAAAATAATTTTAAAATAATGAATTAAAATTTAGAAAAAGAATAAAAATGGAACCTGAACTAGAAAGAGGATAGAAGAAAGGTACATTTTCAGCAATTAATGAACATTTGAGCTTGTTTTTGAAATTTCTAGGCACGATGTTTTAGTACTTTTAGCTCATTACACTTCAATCACTTCCCGCTGCTATCTCTCCCACAAATTAATCATTTGAAGGATGAGGAATGGATCAGAAAATGAAGATTAAAGAATGAAATATCGCTAGCACAACGTGATGTATTCACATTCATATATTTAATTTTTAATTATTTCAATTTATATTTCTCCAAGTTTATCGAAAACATTCGTTTTTCAATCTACTAATTTGAAATAAAAAATGTAACAAAAAAAAAACTGAATTTAATTAAATTGACAATAAATGAAATTGATGATAAATTAGGTAAGAAAATGAATAATTCATACATTTGTGCTTTTTTCTTCTCTCTCTTCTTTAATTTGTTATAAATAAGATGATATTATACAGTTTATTGCTACTTATTACTGCTACTATCAGAAATAATAAATAATGATGAAGGTCATGATTATCTGAATGCTAACATGAAATACAATGAAAACAAATAATAATAATAATGATAACAATAATAATAATAATAACAGTGACAATAATAATAATAATAAACAATAATAATGTCACTACTACTATCATTGATAACAGCGACAGCAATTAAATAACAGTAATATTAATAGTAGTTTAATAAATATTACTAGCGTTAGTGTTACTATTGTTACTATTATTGCCACTATTACTGTCATTACTATTATTGTTATTACTATTATTACTGCTACTGCTATTACTATTGTTGTTGTTATCATTGTTTATTATTATTATTATTATTGTTA